TCCCTACCTACCTACACACACACAAACACGCATCCCTATAAATGTTGGTGGGATTGTTGTTTTTTCCTTGGTAGTTTTTTATTTGTTGTTTACTTCTTGATTGATAATCTGAGTTGGAAGTTCCTTGATTAGGGCATTGTTTACTGCTTGTTTGTATGGTGTTGCTCCTGGTGTTAATCCCTGCTTATCTGGATGTTGATTGCTGGAGAGGAGGTCTTCTTAGCTTTTTGTTTCCTGTTTAGGTTTTTTTATTGTCTCTTTTAAATGAAGCGTAAATGTGGTTTATCTTTAATAAACTTCTTGATGGCCGATTCATTTGAGTGCCAACCTTCTGGAAATCCCTTAGCTGTTTCGAATTTTGCTTGGTCTAAAAACTAAAGTGAGTTTTACAGTTGAAATTAAATCTGTCCATGTGTAATGAGATTAAGGAGTTTAAGAAATTAAGGAGGACACAATGACACGGTCTCTCTTGAACAATATTCTTGATAACTACATTTTCTCTACATTTACATTATACAGTATATTATCCTAATTTTTGCAGCAGATTTTCTCTTAAATTCTCATCCATAACCTCTTTCCTCATTCCACTAAGTTTCCATTTTCATATGTCCCACTAATCCTAACCCTAACCATAATTTTGCACACTTTGGTAGCACACAAAACCATTCCCACACCATCTCCTTAACATATCCATATTTTATTCATTTTATTGGAAGATCTACCAATAATATACTTTCTCTTCATTTATTCCATTCAAGTTTCTTTCAGTTTTCTTCCCCCCCCCATGTCCATTTTCCCCAATATCCAATTATGATAATAGCAGATAGCGCTCTCTATGGTATTACTACCTGCATTTTTTTTGTGATTTCTACTAGGGAGAGTATATACCTATGTGGCTTCTGTGAAGAGTGGAATCAATTAATTTTATTACTGGAGTGCTTTATTTTATAGGTAATTAATTTTAATAAGTACTTATGAAAAGTTATACATTTAGTTTTTTTAGTCTTGGCCCTCTCCTTTTTTGAAGTATGACTTCTGATAGGAATACAGACGCATACACCCATCTACGCACACATACAAAAGTATGTTGCATGCACAGATATACATATATCTTTCTGAGGGTGGGAGATTAGATTCTTTTTAGGTAAATATTAATATCAATAGCAGGTTTATTAAGCAGAAAAGAAGAGATACACAGAGAGATTTATTATTTATTTATTTATTTACTTACTTACTTACTTACTTACTTACTTACTTACTTACTTACTTACTTACTGGATTTGTCAAGGCTGCCCATCTCCAAGAGGTCTCTGAGCTCTTTAGTGTGCAATGCACAGTGAAAACACATGTTTTCAGGTGGCTGTACATTGTACTGGTTTTCCATTCAACCCTATTTGCTTTTATCTTTTTAATGAAAGAATCTCAAAGTTACCTCAGGCCACTTGGGTGCCATCACATACACTTTTGTCTAAAACTGTTAGTAAATGGAAAATCTTGGAGGACTTCATTCATAACCGAGAGCTTTAAGTTGTTAAGCAGTTTTAATGTTGGATGGTTAGATAGTTAGAAGAAGAAAATGCATATATTTTTTTGTGGTCACAAAGAAAACCAGATAACGTGAGTAAGATGTTATGGTTCCAGGCCACTTTGACCGAGAAAGTGATCAATACTATTAAACACAGAGTGCAAATGGAAAGTTAGCTCTTATCAAATGATAAATTGAAACAAAGATTTGAACTTTCTGCTGCCTGTTTTTTTAACAAATCATATATAACATGTCAAAATAAGGTTTCGAAACATTTTTTTACTTATGTATGCTATTTTTAGGACAAGATACGTAACTGTCCCTTACATATGACTTCCTTATAAGGCAGAGATGGGGAACAATGACACCTTTATAACTTGTGGACTTCAATCCCCAGAATTCTAGGAGTTAAAGTCTACAAGTTATAATAGGGCCATTTTCCCCCACCATTTCCTAAGGCATTTCTGTTGCCACATGTCTCTTGATACCATACATGAACATGATCGCTAAGTATTAAAAAGTGTGTGATTGTTACAAGAATGACAACATTTCATATCAAGGACAATAAGTCCACAGAAGCGGAGTTTTTCAGAAGAATATCAGTCATATTTTATGCTTAGAAAGCATCCTAGTAAGAGATTGGTGCTGTTCACCGGTATATGTGGCTGAAGGCTATATGTTGAAATGAATATGATGGCTACATGTTCAAACACCCATAAATCAGCGTGGGAAAGTGGACTACATTTCCTTCTTTCAGCAGTGAGAGTAAGAAATAATCTATGTTGCATAACTGATCAGATTTTAAACCCTGTTATGCAAAGTGAATCTCTGGACATAAGGTTATACACAAAGCTCAAGCAAAACAGCTTGCACCATTGTCCTCCCCACATTGCCAATTTGAAAGGATTTTCCTGGATTCAAAATAACCTTCCATAAACCGAGAAAGAGCAGAAGCATGTTCAAAGCCCAGCATGTTCTCTTCTGGTGTCCCCCTCAGACATGTACTTAAAAGTTCCTGACTTAATACCCTCTTAACCCCCGTTGAGAGGGATTGAGTGGACTATTGTTTTGTGTTTTGGCAGCAGTTTTAAAAAAAAGAAGAAGAGGAGGAATAAAGACAAAGGAAGCCTTAGTGGTAGTGCTGACAAGATCTCCACAGCCTGTAGATATGGCCAATTCTCAACAGAAGGATAAGCAAACTGTGTCAGGGGTATTTGCTTCCTTTTCTGACACTTAACTAATTTTGAAAAGCTTGAATTGGGTTGATGTCCTTGCAGAAGGAAGTTTACAATCAATGGATATTTCTGTTTTAAAACATAGTAACCAGTGCTTTTACCAGGAAAGAGACAATTCTGAGCAAAATGCCTTCTAGGAACAATTATGCTATGCGAGGCTATGGCAAATATGAGTCATTTTACTTCTGGAAAAATAATAATAATCCAAGAGCACAACAGAAGATATGTGGTTCCTGCTCCATCTTCAACTTCAAATCTCCTTGTGAAACCAAGAAGCTGGCCATGTTTGGGAATTGTTTCCACTTTTTTACACAACAACAACTATTCTCGATCAAAATATAATTATTTCTCTGAAATCATCAACATTTAATCCCACTGGTACTACTTTGTATCATACAGATCTTAAACTAGCAGCTTTTTAGATATCAACATGACCTACAGTTTTTCAACAATAGCTTCCGATGTGTTGCCAATATTACAAAATGAACGGTCTACACCCGTTACGGTGAACCTATGGCACACGTGCCCTAAGTGGCAGGCGGAGCCATGTTGCCTGCCCCACATGGGGTTGCCCATTCCTCTTCCGGGTTTTTGGCATGCATGCAGCGCGACAATCAGCTGGCCTTTTCTGTGTATGGCAGTGCCAGAAACTGGAAGAGCTGGTCTTCTGTTTCCTGGTGTGAGCATGCCAGTTGATCATCACGTCAGCATGCACGCCAGTAACTGGAAGACTAGCTGGCCACTGTGCATACATGTGCCTGAAACCGGAAGTTCATTTTCTGGTGCGCGCATGGGTTGCAGCCCAGGCGTGCGTGCGCACATTCCTTTTTCGGCATTTGGTGGTGAAAAGGTTTGCCATCACTGGCCTACACTGTAGATGGCATCAATGGTATTCAGTAACTGGTATCAACTGCAATTATCTTTGGGTTTTTTTACATTCTGCAATTTTTTAAAAGAATCTAGAAAGTATCTTGTTACTGTTGCTTCATTACTCTTCTATTCTGTCACTGACATTCCATTCTAGCAAATATTGCATTCATCGGTCATAATACATACTTCTTCATGTTTTTCCTGTTCATCTTAACATGGAGTATATCACTAACCACAGACAATTGATATATAGATAGTCCTTGACTTACAACCATTTGTTTATTAACCTAGGGCCTTCCCCACCTCCTGAGACAGCTCATGCTCCACATAGTATCCACAATGGGAAGAGTCAGGATTGCATGGATGCCTTGCTTTACAACTACTATAACTTATGACCATAACTCTAGTCTCAATTGTGGCCGTATGTTAAAGGACTACCTGTAAAAGTTGTATCGAAAAGAATCCTGAAGGAGAGCAAACCAAAGTCCTGTTCCTAAAATTTAATCATGCTACATGATTATCCATGCTTCCTAACTCATTTTCTATAATGTGTTAAATATTTTTACACCATTCTCTATGATGTAATTCTTCCCCTCTAGTTTGGATTGCCTCAGTTTATATATTCATTTACAGATTTTGGAATTTGTTTTGGCATGGGAGATACTTGGTATAATGAAAAGGAGATTCAGTATTGTAAATGGTAGGAAAAAAATATCCCTCTCTGGAGAAAGGAGTTGCCTGAGGCTGTATTCTCACTTATGAGAGCTGGGCAGTGAAGTCTAATAGTTTGTTTTTCAGCAAACAAACAGAATTCGTCAGCTTGTTTAGAAATAAGCCCCCCCAAAATAACCATATTTTTCGGACTATAAGACGCACTGGACTATAAGATGCACCTAAATTTACAGGAGGAAAACAAGAAAAAAATAGTTTTTGGCCTCTGCGCATGGTGTTTTTGTACTCCCAGGCTCCTTGGAGCACTCTGCAGTGCTTCACATGGCCCGTTTTCACCAAAAATAGGGTCATTTTTACAAAAAAACATGCCCATTTTTGGCCTTTATAGTGCTTTTGGGGACTTGGGAGGCCAAAAACGTGATGCACGGAGGGCTTGGGAGTGAGAAAACAACCCTGTTTTTGGCAAAAACGGCCATGTGGAGCACTGCAGAGTGCTTCTGGTGGCCGGGGAGGGCAAAAACATGACGTGTGGAGGGTGCGGGAGGCCAAAAACGTGTGTATTAGTCTATAAGATGCACCAAAATTTTCACCCACTTTTAGGAGAGAAAAGAGTGCGTCTTATACTCCAAAAAATATGGTATATAGCAACATATAATCAAGGTCAAATGTGATTAAGCAGTTAATTAAATTTGTCTTACCTTCACTTTTTTACCGAGACGATCCTTCCATTTCTCAGCTATGGAGCCTTCCACTAAGAGTAGTCTTTGCATTTTAAAGAAAAAGAATAACAATGGTTATATAGGAAAAGCAAAATAGCTCAGCTTAAGAAGAAAGAGAAAGCTTTATGTTCAAGCAGCAAATGGAGATCTATTAAGGACCACTACATGGGACCACTTAAGTCCCATAGTAACAGCCTACTTTTCCCAGCTGTAGAAATATTTGTTAATAAAATCTATACTCATGGAAAGAAAGCTAGTTATGGATATATATGTACACGAATCCAAATAGTATGTAATACTACAGTAGTTTAGCTGTATCCTGCCTCAACTATTCTGAATTTTAAAAGATGTAAGAAAAAATGCAAATCTTTGGCGTAATAGACTTTGATAGATTTAAGGCATTCTTAGAAATAGAACAATTTTCATGGGTGACTTTAATTTGGGACTCCAACATAACAAATTACAATAAATGTACCAAAATTTAAGGTGTCACAAGATTGTTTTTGCATAAAATTAAGCAGAAACATCTAAAACAGAGGTATAGATCTTTGTAATTAGATAGCCCTTGAACTGATGTAATTTGAATTTGAAGGACTGGCAGAGCCAGTGAGAGGAGTTAAAAGAAGAATCAGTTTAGAGTCATTGTGGCATAGCCACAAGCTAAATCCATCCCCCCCAACCCCAATGCCTTTGACTCATATCTAGTTCCAACTATTAGTTGAGAAGGTTCCTATAAATAGGCTTTTAGCAATGAAACAGTTAATTTGGACCTTCACATGTGGAACTAGTTTTTTGTGCCTGACACAATTTTAGCCTAGGGAAAAGGATATGAAACGTTTTAAATCAGCTAATATCACATTTATCTCTTGCATTTGAAATTAAATTAACCTCACAACAAAATCTGATGTAATTAGCCAGGCATAGAGATTGACTTGACCAGATTCATACAATCTATGATTCTGAAACTTGAGTTCCAACCAAGATTCCATTTCCCCCCAGAATCTGTCTCTCAAGATCTGTTGATAGCCTATTGCACTTGCTCCTTCCCCCCAGGTGTGCTAGAAGTGCAACTTCAAGAATTTCCAACCAGAAAAATGTTAGCTGAGAACACTGAAAGTGCAATACCTTACAGTTTAAAAGGTCACAGAGTAGGGAACTATGACCATTGGTTACAGATGAAATGATTGATCAATTAGGTTGGGTAGTCGACCAAGGACCACAACCAAGGAGGCTGAGATCTGTACAATGGGAGATAATGCACCACACAGGGACAGGACTAGTTTGGGGAGAAAGTGAGGTTTGCTTTTGTGGGGGGAGAGTTATGATATACCTATGTTAAAGTTTCTTTATGGTGGTGAGAAACTGCTAACAATCTTCACTATGTATGGTCACAAGGGGCTGCAAACTCCATAAAACATGGGTTCAGGATAGGGTTCAGGAACTGAGGTTCAGGAACTGTCTGAAGCCAGCATCCAACAAGACAGATGGATTACAACAATCCAATGAGTGAGTCAGAATTATGGTCTAGACTCTGAAAGCTTTGGCAAGCTTGGTTATTGCAAAATACAAGCTGTCTGCATTAGCTGAATAAAAACCATTTGATCAGATCTGAGAGGTTGTTTTTGGTGCCAATTACCTTCTTCAACAATCCAGGGGTTGTTTTCTATTACTAAATCCTGATTACTAATTCTTATTGCACATGCTTCCAAGAAAAGCCGTCAAAACCTGGCTTTGCCGGCAGGCCTGGGGGTAATGAGTTCCCTCCCCTCTTGACATGTATGGTTGTGCGACTGTTGCTTATTTTTATTATTTGTATTTCGTTTTTATGTTCCCCTTTTTCCCCCTTTTGAATTGTTCGCCGCCCTGAGTCCTCCCGGAGAAGGGCGGCATATAAATAATAAAATTCCAATTCCATTCCATTCC